AGTTATGTGTTCTAGCTACATATTTGAAAATTCTTTTATGTATAAAAATTCTAACATCTGCTTGATAAAAATTTTTATAAGAACTCCAGAAGCTGTTATAGTTTTGAAAGTCTTTGTTAATATATTTTCTTTTTTTGAAAGTTAGGTATGTTTCTGATAATCCAAAAATATCAAATTATATTAGTTGATTATATCAATAAATGAGAGTTTTTTTGAATGTTGAAGTAAATCATTAATGTTTAGAGAACCAATTTTTATAGAAATTGAGATAATAGGTGAGAGAATTGTTTATAGAAGAGATATATTATTAGTAGTTATAAAGTTAAAGTTATATAAATTAAAAGTAATAAGGTTTGAATTATTATTATTATGTGTATTAAAAAAAATACTATTCAAATAGTATAAGAAGTTGAGTATCTGAAATGTAATTTAATAGGAAGGTTATTGTATAAATAATAGTGTGAACTTGAAAAAAATATGTAATCAGATAGAAGTTTATATTTTGGATTTTTATAAATATGTGTTTCAGTAAGTATATTATTAATAGAGATTTTAAAAAGTTTATTAAAGAAGTTATTTTTTAGATGTTGGATAAAAAATAGTAGTGTTTGTTTAGGTAGTAAGATTGAAAGATTATGATTAATTAGGAAGATATTATAGCAGGAAAGGTTCTTGAAGTTAGATGAAGAATTGGAATCTAAGAAGTAATAAGATGTTTCTGTAAGGTTACTTACTATTTTAAGCTTGGCTTACACAACTGTGAAAGATACTGTAGTCTTTCTAATATGTTGAATTTGATCATTATTAACCCAGCCTTCTATATAAAAAAAATGATTATTTTAATATAATAATTAGGTTATTATTTCTAATTAACAAGTTTTGTGTTTAAATTCTATTTATAATAAAAAAAAATTATATTTGTATTATGATAATTGTTTCTTAATGATCAATTAAATTAAAAAAATAATCTGTAATCTTAACTATATTTTTCTAAATAAGAACTTAGAGTATCTATATTAGATGTAATATTATATATATATATAAGAATTTTAAAAACTAGTATTATATAAAACTTTAATGCAAATCTATAATAAGACTATCAGATATATAATACTAAAAAACTAGAAATATAAAATTCTATTTAGAATTTTTGAATAAAAAAATAACAAAAACTTTTAACAGGATTATTAAACTAATAAAAAGTTTAGAAAAAACTAAATAAACTAATTAATAAATATGTATAAAGTATATAGAATCTTTGCTAACAAAATAATTTTATAAGCTATTGTTATATAAGATTTTTATTAAGAAAATCATAATGAATCTATTTTAGAAAAAAATTGCTAGCAAAAATCCTATATAACTAATTAGACTACTAAATTTACTAAAATAAAAATTTTTATTAGTATATTAAAAGCTTAAAAACAAGTTTACTAAACCATTTAAATTAATAATTTTAAAAGTTTAATTTAGAATAAAGTATTATTTATTTATTTTTATAAGAAGTTTAAAATTATAACAAAAAATTCACAATGTTTATTTGATGTAAACAGCTTTTTAGGTCATTTGAATTTTATAATTATTAAGAATCTCTATTATAATTTTTAATTTCTCTAATTTTTTTTTTTTTTTAAATATTAAGATAAGTATTTGTGATCTAGAATTTTATTGATAGTATATTTGGCTAATGGTTGCATTACAACTACAGAGAACAATCATAAAAAAAGTATACAACTAGCTACTTGTACAACTTTAGTTATTGTCTAATTTAAGTTGTCTGTCCAAAGGTTCTATACTAGTTGCTATATCTGGAACCTGCTTGTAGATTTCCTATTTAACTACTTTAGTTTGTATATCTATTTATCTACCTTTGCCTACCAATGATCCTAGCCAATGCTAGTGAAAATATGCTATAGTTACTAAGTCTTTAAAGCAGTTTTTTAAAATCTTTAACCTTGTACTAAATCTTTTAGAATTTTTTATATCTTATTCTTATAGCTAATCTGATATTATTATGGCCAAAACCAATACTAGCAGTCAGAATGTACTATTAAACTGCTATGTCCTTGTAGAGTTCACCTCAACTCCAATACTAACTTTACAATATATCCTTACTATTTTGGTATTCAATTCAAGTTTTAACAAGCTGTCATTTTAGATATCTAAAAAGGTAGGTTGAAACTATACACCTCTGGTTTACATATTTGCTGACATGTACTCTTTTTTTTTGAAATCTGAAAATTCCAGTAGCCTGATTGGTTCATTTAGTCTCTTCTCAAAGACTGACACATTTGTCCAGTTTTACAAGTTCTAGCTCCATTTCATAAGTCTAGTCTTTATAGTAACACTGTCAAAAGTTCAAGTTACCTTTCTACTTAAGTCTTCCAAGTGGATTTTTGTCTTTCTTTTTTTGGTTTCTATAATTTATATGACCACAAGGACTTATTGTAGGTTTGTACTACTTGGTACTAGTTTGCATTCCTTCATGTAACCATAGACCTTGTCCTAAAGAACAATGTTATATAACTGTTATACAAATACTATATAACCTGCTAGTCATACTAATGCAACACAGATAACAGATATCTTATCTCAACTAATTGCAAGAAACAGTTAACTGTAATACAGAAAGGATTTTCAATTTTTTATCAATATTGAGATTTGAACTCTGAACATGCCACTTGGAGGTTAACAACCTGACTACTTCACTAGATTATCACACTTCTTAATTTCTCTAATTTGAAAATTAATATTATTTATTTTCTGATAATTTCATATTATCATAACTGATTATATTATCAAAATTATAAAGTTGTAAATATGTTAATAAATAATACATATTTATAAATACTTTTTTTTCTTTATATTATATTTATCACTTATTATAGTATTTATAACTATTTTTTATTATTTTTTATTATCTTTTACATTTTTTATTTTTAAATTATTTTTTAATAGTTTTTTTTTTGATTATTGGTTTTTAGTATTTTTGTATTATTTTTTTTGTTATTTGTTTACTTAAAATTACTATTCTTAATATTTTTTTTATTTATTAAATTTTAGTTTTGTTTTTTATTTGTTTTATCTATTAATTTTAAGTATTTTGTATTTTTTTTATTTTTTTTATTTAAAATTAGTGATTTTTAATATTTTATTTTATTTATTTTATTATAATTTTTTAAATTTTATTTTTTTACTATTGGTTTCAAGTATTTTGTATTTATATTTTTAATTTTTTTATTTATTTAAAAATTATTATTTATTAATTTTTTTCTATTTTGAGTGACCCAACTATAAGGTATATCTTTATATAATAATTGATATAAGTAAAAGAATTAGTTTTTGAAATTAAATAGAAAAATTAATTTCTAAAACACATATTTCAATATTTTTTTATTATATATATAATTTGTATTTATAAATAAATAAAAATTAATAAAGTTATAAAAATAAATAATCTTGTATATGAAATAAAAAGTTAATTTAAAAACAATATATATTTTTTAATTTTATGAATATGCATAATAAATATTAATAAATATCATTATTATTAATAAAAAAATATTTAAAATTGATTCTATAATATTAAAGTTAAAATATTGACTCAAACTTGTATTTTTTAATATGCAAAAAATTAACCAGTTATGCTTCTAAATTTAAATTATAATATAATTAGTTAGATATAAAAATTATAGATAATTTTATAATTATATAACAATTTAGTTATTACTATTTAATTACCTAAAACTTTTGACAAAATTTTGAAATCTAAAAAATATGGTATAAGCTGTTATTCTTGCTAATAGTTTTAATAAATGATATTATTCCATAATCCTTAATAAGTTATAAGTATAATTTTTCTGTTATTAGAGATTATTTCATTGTTAGGCACTATTAAAGATATGACACAAAGTGCCAGGCACTAGTAAAGGCATGACACAAAGTGTTAGGCACAAGCATTGAGCACAAGTGCCAAGCACAATTAAATAACAAATATCAAATTTCTGTGCCTATAGCCATGCCCATGCTCATGCCTATGTTCCTGAGATTTTATGCCATGCTCATGCCTGAATTTTTATGCCATAGCATGCCTAGAGTTTTGTTGAGCACAGGCATAAGCTTGGGTTGCAAATCCTAGTTAACAAAGTTAACTGTTAGAAAATAATGCAAAGATTTATTGCTTAAAGTCTAGAATTTATTCTTATAGTTATGATTAATAATAATATAATTAAACTTCATATTGATATTGCCTGATTTGGTTAAGGAAATCAGATTAGGGTGCATCAATTATATATGATTTCATAAGTCTAATGAGATGCGTCACTAGGGAGATGAGATTTCATCTCGCGATTAAATCACATAACTTATATCTCGCGCGAGATAACATTTTGATCAGAAAAACCTATAATCCATTGAATTTTAAATTTCTCCATGTAAGGAGTCATTTCACATCTCGTGTGAGGTCACATAATATATTAGCTAAGGTTGCCTGCCGTAATAAGTTTACTAGAGTTGGAAGGTTGTGTAACCTTTCGTCTCGAAGTTGTAATTTTTTTCCGTAATAGGTGCAATAGCCATAATAGGTGTAATGGTTATAATGGATATAATGATTTGATTACGTATGCTAATAAGTAATTGCAGATATTAACAAGATTTATTACAGAATTAAAAAATATGAATCGTCAAATAACCATGCACATTTCCAATAACCATAACTATACCGATACTATAATACGCCTGATTGGTTTGTTTATACAAGCATACAAGTCCCCCTCGAGTTTGGCTCTTCGAGTTTATCAAACCTCTAGAAAATTTGATTGAATAATAGCAATAGTAATATAGAATATAATAATTAAATTTAGATACGTATTCAATTGATCAGATTTTTTAGGAGCTAAATCATTAAAATATAAACTCAAAAACATCTGATGGCACTTAAATGTTATCGTTAATTTGTTAAGCTTTACATGTTTATAAGGACGTGCAAGACACAATTACTTATGTTTTTACGACAATTACAATCTATTATGCCATTTACAACGATTATAGCAATTTCAACCATTACGACATTATGGTAATTATAACCATTACCAGCATATTTATAACTTGAGTATTAGTTGTAATTCGTAATATCCGTAATTATTACTTACAGCAGACAACCTTAATTAAAAGCTTTTAATTAAAATTAGTGGCATAAAATGTATATTACGTAACTACCTCAAAATAACGCACGTCCGTAATCTGTGACAGGTTAAGCCACTGACTTCAGTCACAGTGACTATGCCTCCTAGAGCTGATTTAAATCATGATAAAAAAGCTATTGTATTTAGTAATTTGAAAAGCTTATTATTACGAAAATAAAGTTGAATGTATAAAAAATGATTTGATCGTATTTGGTTATTTATTTTTTTACGATTTTAGAATTTTTTTTTTTTTATCTAACGTAAGGGTGCAAATTAAAGGTTTAAATAACCCTATCGACTTCTAAGATTTTAAAAAGAACCAATTTTTTGATAAAGTTTATAAAAAAAATTTAAGTATGAAAGGTCCTTCAAATGCCTCGCAGGTTATATAAATTTGGATATAATTTTAAAAAAAACTTATAAGAAAATGGAAGAGAACGATATTCGAAATACGAGTTCACGAATGAATGATATGGTGAAAAGGATAATTCAACACTTTGAGTTTTCTTCATTTGAAAAAGGTTGAATTAAGTAAAAAAAAAAAATTTTAAGAATGTGTTAATTAGCACGGTTAAGAAACGATATATTGTTTGCTTTACTTAATTATAAAATATAATAGAGGAATAAACTAGCAACTTTTATTTTAAACCAAAAAGAAAGAAAGAAAATCGAATATTTCTTAAATTATTCCAATCTTGTTTAAATTCTGTTGTTAGAAATATTATTATGCAATCAATTGTATAGTCGTATGTTATACCAAGCATTCAAGATAAATATTTAAAATACTCACTATGTTAAAACGGATATTCATTGAAGAAATAAACTGTTGGATTTTCGAATCCTTATCCTCTCGAGTTATTAAAGATTTCCAAATGTTTCGTTTTTCTTAACGCAAGTCGCATAATTTTGTTTAAATGTTCTGATTTTCTAATTATATATTTTTGATCAAAGTCCGTAAGCTTTCCAAGCTCTTCATCATCTTGGATTTGATAATTGACTTCATTTTTCTTTTTTTGGTAAAGCATATTCAGTGAGCTCGGAACTTAGATTTTGATTGATTTCTAACAATGCTTCAAAGGCACTTTCGTTACCTACAATTTCAGTAGATTTGCACATAAATATATATTTTAAAATATTATACGAATAATACATATTATTGTACGAATTATATTTACTATATACTACAACCTTATCAAGCCAATCAACTAGTTCTAATGCTAATGTTGTAATTTTTCATCACTCTATTTACCTTCGCATTGAGTTATGCCGTGGGCATGGTGATTCCTGGCTTCATTTTGAAGATTTAAAAATGTCTAAGGGTTTGTATTCTTCGTGAAATAGGTTTGATCAGCATAGGGAATAATTAATAAAGAGATATGGCTATAATGAAGTTTAAAAGATATAATTGTCCGGAGGACATTTAGTGTTTAGTCATAGTGATACAAAAGTTGCGTTTTTGATGCATCAATAGTTACGTTTTTGATTAAATATTTATTTGAAAATTCTTGTCTGTTCACACAAAAAAATGCAATCACGCATTTGTGCAATATGATGATTATCATGTGCTCCGGACACAATGCATCCGAAAAATCTATCTTTCGCGAAGGGTTACATTTGGCTGCAAATTCTTTTACAATGTTTGAGGGTATATAGACAAGCAGGAACCTGCAAAAATTGGATCCAAATTTTTCCAGATCAAAAAATTCGACGTTTTTAAAATAACATCAAACGTTCTAGAACATGTGTAATCTAATCAATAGAAATTCATTTGAAATATAAAATTAGTAAGCACCAAGTCTTTTGATCTTCGATTAGAAAACAGAACACAAACAAAAAGAAAAAAAAAAATTTTTTTTCTTATCTATAAATATAAGGATTATTACTTATAAGCGTGTGCAAGAGTTTTGCTTGAATTCCAGAAAACTTGTGTTGTTTTTATAACTGCAAGTGATCATCACCGCTCATATGTTCGACCAATTAGATTGTAGGATCTTGCATCTTTGGACACTAAGTAAAAGTTTTCAACGCGCAATTTTACATATAGCTTACTTTTTCTAGTCAAACCATAACTCTAAATCTAGAATCTTACACATTCTCTTATATGAGCGGTGATAATCACCTGCGGTAATAATTAGCAATACTCTATTTAAAAATAGATAAAATGTTTGGCTGAGTTATGTTAGTGTTTGAAACATTATAAAGAACTATTATATAATACGTACGTAAAAATGGTTAATTACAAGAAATAAAAACGGTTAAAATTTTTAAATATTTTAAAACTTTATAGTTTACTGAAGTTTTTCATTATGGACATTGGTTATAATTCATATCGATATGTTTAAGAAAATATATTTGATCTTCGTTCTTTTGTTATAACGACAGAACGATAAACCTAATTTTTACAAGTATAATTTGATTGGCTAATTGATACATTGATGCACTTATAAATTTATTTGAAAAAATTGTTTTTTGTTCTTTAGTACTTTGCCAAGTTCCCTTCCGCGAAATCGAAAAACCACTCTTCGTGCTTCGGTACTGAACAACACTTTTGGTGTTGAGTAGGTGTTGAGAAGCCAAGAGGCAGATAAAAATGTTTCAGGTATAGTTGATGGTAGAATTACTGAATTACGGCATTCTACCATAGTACCTGATTGCCGTAAATATTATAGCACGTCCGTAATCTGTGACAGGTTAAACCACTGATTTTAACCACAGTTCCATTATGCCTTAAATCATGATGAAAAGGCTATTTATAAATTACTTTTTTTTTTTTTATCTAAGTGTGCAAATTAAAGTTTAAATAACCCTATCGATATCTAATAAGACTTAAAAAAGAACCAATTTTTTTAATAAAGTTTATAAAAAAAAAATTTTAATATAAAAGGTCCTCGAGGTTATATATATTTTTTTAAAAAAAAACTGATATAAAATAGAATTAAGAAAATGAAAAAGAACATTTTCGGCATCACTTCAGTTTTAGTTTTTAACTCAATACGAAGATAAATTCAAAGATAAGTATACAGGTATAATGTAACAAAAATAAAATCTTCCGAATATTTTTCTTTATTATTTTAGTCGCGTTTGTTCAATCAAAAGTGCTGTGGAAATATGAGTTCACGAATGATATGGGCGAAAGGAGAATTCAGCTCTTTTAGTTGAAAAGTTAAGAATTAAGTAAAAAAAAGTATCATTTAAGTAAGAATGTGTTGAACAATTAGCACGGTTAAAGAAACGAAATATTGTTTGCTTTGCTTTGCTTAAAGTTATTATAATATACTAGAGGAATATTTATGTTACTCATTATTTTAATTTTAAAATTAAAAGTTTTTTTTTATATATAAATGTTTGTTTAGTTAATATCAAAAGACAACTTTTGGTTTTAAATTCTAACTTTAGGTATTTTTTGACAGTCAAGTCTTACACTGGGAATATAGTTAGGCGGTGATTGAAATTAGTGGCTTAACCTGTCACAGATTACGGACGTGCAATATTATACGCCGTAATGCCGTAACCGTGGCCGTAATACCGTAAGTGTAAAGACCTATCTACCACACCAACTTTGTCACAGTAAATTCTCAATTTGATTGACTAACAATCATGATCTATAACATTTTGGCATGCATTACATAATTGTCCATATAATTTTTGATCAAAATTAATTTCTTAATTTTTTTATTTTAAAAATAAAATTAACTCAGTAACATTTTTATCTGATGAGCAGTTGTGGTTTCATTGGATCAGATAGTTTATCTGAGTCCAATTTTTAGTTCTTCTTAAAATACAATATTTAAAAGTAATATAAGTGTTTTGTTTCAATACTTTTCTTTCTTAGATAAATATACATTATATAAGGGTGAGTCAATAAAAATCAAGTAAATTGGTTTTATTGAGTTTTTTTAAAAACTTAAAATGTTAATACCTTAACAAAAACTCAATCAAATTTAATAAAAATTTTTTTAAATAAATTTTATAAGTTTGTAAAATTTATTTTAAAAAAAAATGTATTAAATTTGATTAATTTGTTTTTTTTTTTAGTTAAAGTCCCTATCTTGGAAGTTGTGATGTTTTTATTCAAGTATATTAGGACACGACATGTCACCAAAGGTTCACCTTACATTGGAGGTTATAACTAGCCACACATGCACTTTTGGTGCCTAATTTAAGTAGTTTGTTTACATATTACGATATAAGTTTTACACTAGTTGCTATACCTGCAAGCCAACTAGAGGTCTTGCCTATTTAAACTCTCTGCATATGTAGTTTTCCTTGTATCATGAAAACATCTCAAGACACTGCCTATCCAAGTTCCTGATGCTTATCGATATCTTTAGGATTACTTTATCCTTGATAGGAAACTTATTAGAGCCTGTAAGTCCCACACATATAGACCTAGTTTTATGCAATATGTTATAGTTACCTAATACTTGCAGTCACAGAGGTTACTTGTTTAACCATTACATTACACTATTTCTATCCTTGTAAAGTTCACTAGAACCTTAGTACCTATCTTTCTGACATCTTCTCCATCATCTCTTACTAGTCGCAACTCAGAACCATCAGTCTCATTCCAGACTACCAATCCAAATGGTCCGGTATGTTATACTTCTGTATCCTTTTTCTCTGATGAACCTGGCGACCTGGTTGGTTATGTGCTCCTCTACACATATTTGTCATCTGGTTTTAATTTTCAGTTTTTATGAAGGTGTTTCATGAGCTTCAACTGGTCCAATGATATCATTGAAAGTTCATGCTATTTCTTTACTTAGGAATTTCCAAATAGGTTTCTGTCATCTCAGTTTCTTAGTCTTCTACGCCCGGTGGTCTTATCATAAGTTTGTATTAAAGTCTTATACAACACTGGTTAACATTCCTTTATGTATATGTAATGATACATTTCGCATAAATACCTGAGCTCCCAAAGTTGGGAAGATCTGATTTGATGTACCTAGGTAACAGCCACATGAGGCCAACTGATTAATAGGAAACAGTTACCGTAATGCAGATATAATTTCCAAATTTAGTTGTAGATGAGATTTGAACCTTAGACCTGCCACTTGGAGGATGACAATTCAACCACTATACTAGGATTGCCATCCTCTAAATTTGATTAATTTGTTAAGTTATTGTTATTCAAAATTTACTTAGAAAAATTTTGCTTGTTTATGTGGAAGATCAAGATTATAACAATCAGATCCAATGTACAGAGCAGACTTTGGTACCTTGCATAGCAGTTAGAGCCAAGCATATGGTGATTGATCCTATAGAAAACAATCTCAGAAGATCATTATCAACATCTTTAAGCCCCTATGATCTTCATACATGTTTTAACAAATTTCTTCTTTATTACAACTTACCACTTCTTTCTCATGGTCAAACGATTCAATCTCTTATACAATATATTGACAAATATAATCATAATAAAACTGTCTCTAGTATTATTTTCTCTGTTAGTAATACTTATGATAAAACCCACATATATCTTCCAAATGATTCTCTCTTATTTAATCATACTGTTATCCATCCTTATCTTCTTCCTATCTTTTACAATCTTCCTCTTAGATTAAATTCCTCTAATTCTATTTCTATCCTACCTGATTTATTTCTAAACAGTCACACTACACCACAAGTACCCACATCTACACAAACTCTACGTGACCTTCATTTAAACATTTATACATATAATATTAGAGGTTATAATACAATAACTAAAAGAGAAGCTTGGCAAAATTATTGTCTTTACAATAATATCCATATCTCTTATATTACTAAAACCAAAATAGCTAACAATACTAATCTTCAATTTCACAATAACAACTTATTCACCTACTTCTGGGCCAACTCGAAAAGTTTAGTAGAAGGTACTGCCATTATGATCCAAAAACACTTATAACCATATATACACAACTGCCATACACATCCTAGTGGAGCAATTGCTCTAGATCTATTTTTCAAAAGTGAAATTAAACTTTGAATTATAGCTGTCTACCTTTCTTCTACTGATATGCAAAAACGTAACAATACACAAAATACTGTTATCACATAGATCCAACAAGCTCTTTAACACAAACTTCATCCAATTATATTTGGAGACTTTAACATACATGATAATATCTGTAACTCTTTATTCAAGTTCAAACTTATTAACTATTTATACCACTTCAACATGTTTGACCTTGGTACACATGTTGATAACAAGTACTTTATATGGTCAAACAATACTAGCCACAGCTGCATCGATTATATTTAGACTGATTCATTCAATATCCAATTCTTTCTTTCATATAAACTTGATAATAGCAATATCTCAACACTTAGTGACCATTCTATTCTTATATCTATTTGGAATTTCACTAATGCATATAGTAAACCTTTATGTCATCATACTGGCATTAGCCACAGAATCTTCAATTACAAAGCTATGTCAACTGACAAATGAACAGAATTTGCTAACCTTCTTTCTCACAATCTTAGCCTTCACAATACACCACTCAATAGTAATACTAATGAAAGCATTGAAACTACTTGGCACAAGATTAAACATTCAATAATTAATACTACAATACATTTTATCCTTAACAAAAAAACTCGTAAACATAGCTACAATCATCAATATTCTTCTAACTCTACCCTAATCTACACATCACTCAAAGAGCTTGGGCACTTAATAAAAA